TCTGTTCCGTAGGATCACAATGGGTTGGCATTAAGTCAAGAGCAGTGAATTTTTTGACGTTGAAGGTAGGATACACATCTGATCCAATCATTGTTTTCAGGCGCATTCATCTCTTTCTGAGTTGTTGGACTGAGGTCTCAGTTTTACACATGTTGTCTGAAGACCTCCTTTGGTTCCTTGTCACATGGACCTTGTCCAACAACATCTCAAAGTGAGCAGGCAAGAGAGTGAGTGTTCCAGCAAGGTGAAAGTCATATAGATGTTTGAACATGTAATCACGGCTATGGCATCCTACCACCTCAGGTATATTCCATTTGTTAGAAATGAACCTTTAGAGCCGATCTACACCCAAGGGGAGGTCTAGGTATACATTTAAAAAATACAGCAAACCTATGACTTAAAACATTTTATTCCACACAGTTTTATCTGAAATCTAAAAATCAGAAATCTAGGTGTTGGATAGGTTATGATCCCTCTAAAGCTTCTAGAGAAAAACTCTTCCTTGCTCTTTGTAGCCTGTGGTGGTGGCCGGACTCCTTGGCATTCTTTGACTTGCAGCTACATCACTCCAACTTTTGCCTTCACATGACCATCTTCCTTCCATGTGTCTGTGTTTCTACATGGCATTCTTACAAAGACACTGCTCATTGAATTTAGGGCCCACCATAGCCCAGTATGAACTCATTTTAGTTAGATTACATCTGCAAAGACCTTATTTCCAAGTAAGGTCACATTTATGGATTGGGGCTTTGGACTCCAGTCTAATTCTCAGAGCAGACATAATTCCACCCACAACATTCCCGACACCAGGAGGTGGGGCTCTTGGGGCCCTGGGCGAAGTTGCACAGACAAAGCACTTGATGAGATGGGTATTCTGGTGTATAGAAAGAGACACAAAAATGAATGAGGCAAATTCCTTGACTTTGAAGAGCTAGTAAGTATTGGAGGAGTAGGGACAGTGTGGAAATTATTGGTTAATTATACTATAGTACTTGGATTGGGGAACCCTGGCTATACTGTTTTACACACTGGGCTGCTAATTACAAAGTAAGCAATTTGAAACCACCAGCCTTGTGGGATATAAAAAGACTTTTCCCCAGCTTTGTCTCCCCCTAAGATATGCTAGGCTACCATCCTGCATCTAGGATCTGCCCATCTTGTCACATGTGTGCCCCCAATCCCTCCCCTTTCTATTGTGTGTATACCCCAAGATTGTCCCCCTCTCATTACTGTATTACCTATAGTACAACTCCTTTACCTGTAATTAGGTCCTCCCCCCAAAGATATATAAGCTTGGGTTAGCAATAAAGAGCTCTCTACCTGGAAGCTCTCCCTGGCTCGCTCCCTGAGTCCTCTCTCCAGGTCCCTGTTCCCTCTTCCCTTGTTCTGCTTCCCCTCCCAGTCTCTCCTGTCCTCTAGTCTCCCACCAAGTGGGACTGAGGTGAGCATGCTACCATGAAATGTGTCTGACTCCATTATTTCAATCTCCTTATTTTCTATGACTTTATTATAAACTATATTTTGGGCCGGGGCCGGACTAGGCAGCCTCCATCTCCTCTCCAGCTCCTCAGGAAGATAGAACTTCAAGGGCCCCATTTCCAGCCTCTTGGGAAGAAGAATGGCCTATTGAAGTTTCATCTTCTGCCACAACCTCCCAAGGAGCTTATCTCTCCAGACCAAGGTTCTGCAGCCCCTGCCCCAGCACTCCAGGGTGTAAGTTGGCAAACAACAAAGGCACTTCCCACGGATCGCATCCTGACTCAAGGTCCTGCAGCTGCAAGCAAAAAATCTCCCTTCTTGTTGTCAACATCTACCTCCCTAGCTGGAGCCCTATATATCTCCCACTGCCTCAGCGACAAGCTGCGATTTTCCTGACCTAACTCGTTGGGTTGCGGAAATCATACAGAAATTTTAATAAAGCCTCTCTGGACTTTTCATTCCCAATTGAGCCTTATCTCCCTCTGCGCCTCCATCTCCAACTTCTCACTATACATATATTTTTTAACCATACAATTGTGTCTATCGAACCCACGATTAGTTGTGGGGGGCTGACCTTCCCCCACACAGCCTCTTCTCAGAAGAAAAACAGGGCTTCCTAGTCCCATAAAGAGTTACAATCTATGAAACTCACCAGGGAAATCCCATCCTGTTCTATAGGGTCACTATGAGTTAGCAAAGACTTGATGTCCGGGAGTGGATGACTTGAGGGGTTGCAGTGGAGTAGTATGGACGAGTGATTGTATCTTGGAAGAGATGGCAGCTAATAAGTCATAGCTTTAGAGAGAGTAGCTAATGATTCCTAGATTTTTGCAGGTACAAGAGGGGCTGAATCAGAGGCTATGTAAGGATCCACCAGTCACCTAAAGAAGAAGAAAGTTCTAAGTAGGTGGACAGAGCAAGGAGACAAAAAAGTGCATGGTATGTTTGAAGAATGGAGGGTAGCTTTATGAGTTGGACCATAAAGGATTGCAGAGTGTTGTAATACGAGCGGGCAAAATTTAAACTGATTGTGAAGGGCTTGGTGTATCATGCTCAGTGAACTTGACTTTATTGAGAAAGAATAGACATGGGCTTTACAGCATGCCGTGGTCTCCAAATAATACAACACAATTTTTGAATCATGCATAAGCTAAATATCCCACTTATTTAATCTTCCCAGCTACTTTGTGGAGTAGGTCCTATTGTTAGCTGCGATTAAACAGAAACTTGGCGTTAACTGATTTTCGCCACAAACCACAAGGCTAGAAGGTGTCAGGGGCAAGATACTGCTTGCGGTCTGAAGGTAACTCCTCTCTTTAAGGAAGGCTGTGCCTCCCCACTGCGCAACGCACTCCCACACATGCGCCTTATCCTCCTCTCCTGTCCTCAGTCTGAAGGCCAAGCAAGGCAAGCCTGGTCCAGGCCCAGGCATTTTTGTGTTAGAGATAGGGCATGATTCAGCACGGAGTTTCTTTTTGGTCTCAGATGTTCCAACTTTTCATTTTGTAATATTTCCAACACAGAGAAGTCATTAAACTCGAGTAATGAATTTAACTTCAACACTGATTGACCTTCTGACCTTCTGCTACTCCTATTTCACTTATCCCTTCTCCACCTCCCATATTCTACTCCTGGAATATTTTAAAGCAAATTATAGACATCATATTATTCCACCCACAACTATTTAATATCTATAACATGCTTTAGAAGGAACCCTGGTGGTACAGTGGTGATGAGTTAGGCTACTAACCTCAAAGTCAGCAGTTCAAAATCACCAGTCTCTCTGAAGGAGAAAGACAGGGCTTTCCACTTCCTTAAAGAGTTAGAATCTCAGAAACGCACAGGACAGTTCTATCCTGTCCTATAGGGTCTCTATGAGTTGCCATCAACTTGATGGCAGTGAGTTTAAAATTATTTTTTATAATACTTTAAGAAATATAGATGTAACACTTTTTATCATATCCGACCATGCTGACTGTAATTCCTGAATTTCACTTGCTATTCCTAAAGAACTTTTACCAGCAACACATCTTATACAAAAGCTGTGCTTACAAAGAACAATGGAATTCCTGTGTAGGAAACATTTTTATAAAACACAGTAAGAAGATTTTCATGGAGCTTATAGGACTGATGTGTACACAACTGAAGGGTATTGCAATGGCATGTTCTTATAGTAGTTTGTACATACACACATTTTCAATTTCGGTGGGCTGGGTCCACATGTCTCATCTTGCTAGATGCTATCCAGGAGGTTCCAACTCTTAGTGACCATATGTACAATAGAATGAAACGCTGCCTGGTCCCGCGCCAGCCTAATTGTGTTCTTATCTTTGAGCCCTCTTTTTTGCTGCCCCTCCACTTTACCAAGCATGATCTCCTTCTCCAGGGACGGGTCTCTCCTGACAACATGTCCAAAGGATATTTTAACTGGTTCTAGTTAATGCCTCATTCAAGCAAGATCTTCTCTGCGGCCCAAACCAATCGTTTCGTCTCCTCTAAATACTAGTTGGAGATTGATTTTAGGTCCCCTGAAGTACATTTAGTAGTATAATTAGGAACAAGCAAAACAAAAAAGCTACCTCACTGCCATCCAGTCAATTCTGAGGCACAGTGACCCTATAGATTTCTCCAGTGGAGCACCTGGTGGTTTTGAACTGCTGATCACGTGGCTAACAGCCCAATGTGTAACCACTAAGGCACCAAGCTCCCTCCTGTAGTACAGCTCTCTTTAAGACCAGGATAGAGAGAGCTCATCTCTTTCACGGTTTACTTGAATTGGCCACATCACCCCGAGAATCGCGTTTTCAAACCGCTAATCCTCCCTCTGGCTGTAATAGTCTTAAACACAAGGGGTCAGTGGTCCAGAGGAACAGAACTACCTGGAAAGAGAGACTTGGAAATCGCTAAAGGCAACTCCTAGGTGAAATCTCAGAAAACTACACAGCGGTGCCTGAGAATTAATTTATTGTAACTGACTGTATCCTTATTGATTGGTTGATTTTATCTGTTTGTACCCAAATATTAAAAGCTTTGATGATAATTTAATATTATTTTTAATCATTATGTTTTGGGGTACATTATTGTCTAGTTTGACCATTATCTCAAAGTAAACAGGAATGATTCCATACGTACATACAAAGGTTAAATTTCCTATCCCAGGCAATATGAGATGCATGCCCACCGTGTCATTCCATTTTTCATTAATCGACTTCGCTGTTCATGACCGTTCTGTTCGCCATTGAAGGGGGGATACATTCTCCAATGACCTGCTTCTCTTCAGGAAAACCCGGACGTACCCATCCCCTTATACTGGAGCCTTGGCACCAATGGCGCAAGTTCCAGCTTGGCAACACTGGGTCAGATGTTTATTTTCAGCGGATGGCTGGGAGGAAAGGGCGGCTGTTGCCAAAGCAACCAACACCCTGGGCAACCACAAGTCGAGGCGCTAGGGGGCGTGGCCTCGGCGAGCCCGAGCCGATAAGAGGCGGCGCCGCAGCCCCGTCCGGAGCTGGGCCTGTCAGCACCGCCGGGCGCAGGCGAGGCGGGCGGCCTAGCTTCTCCTCCCATCTCCTGGAAGGCCCAGTCGGGCGGGCCTGGACGTTGGCAGGCGAGGCCACGCACCCCACAGCTTCCTCTCCCCACAGCCCCTGCCGAGGAGCCGACATGGCGGGCGGCCGCTGCGGCCCACGGCCCACGGCGCTCCTGGCCGCCTGGTTCGCCGTGGTGGTGGCGGCGGCGGCGGCCAACCCAGGGCAGGCGGAGCCGGCGGCAGAGCGGAGCCTCGTCCAGCCCATGACCGCCTCCAACTGGACGCTGGTGATGGAGGGCGAGTGGATGCTGAAATTGTGAGTGTGTCCGCATGCCACGCTGCCTTCGCGGGCACCACCCTCCCAAACCCGAAAGGGCCCCGCGCCTCGGACATGGACCGCGGGCCCGCGAACCGCTGAGCTCCCTACCTGCAGCGCCCGAGCGGGGCTGCCGCGCTGCGCATGCGCACGGCCCTGCGTCAACTGCTGGCAGGCCCAAAGCATCTTCATCTTTTTTACCAAGGTGGGGGTGGGGGAGGGAGTTGGGGGCACCTTACCAAGGCGAGGGGCGGGTGAGGCGGTGTTAAAAAATCTGCCAGACAAATCGTGTGCTGTTAGATAAAGGTTTGTGTGTAGAAGAGAAAGGGCAGTCATGCAATGACATGTATGTGGTGCATATGGAACATGGACGAGGCAAGGTATTTGTAGACGAATTGGCAGCAGCACCGTGAAGGTCAGGCCAATTGTACAAAAGATCATTGTCCTCATGTTGAAGGCCCTGAGATGTCATTGTAAAAGCGAAACAGAAAGGTGGCGTATTTTAAGTTTCAAGCAAGTTTTATGCAATTTTTGGTACTTGTTATAATTTTCAGATAACGTCTCAACAAGTCGGAATTGACTGGCCCGCAATGAGTTTGGGTTTTGTTAGTTTTTAATGTATGTATACATACCGATTTAAATCTGCAACTGTCATGGCCATTAATAAATGTCCTCTTCCTGCGGAGAGGTTGGAAAGGTTCGAACTGCGGACCATTCTTTTGCAGCTGAACAAGAAGACCAAAACCATCTGCTCCCCAGGGCGCTGCCTTTTGAATAATAGACGATGCTGAATGGTGCATAGTATCTTTGCTTGATGGAGGTGGGGGAATCTAGCTTTGAGTTCCGAGAAGGCAAGGACCTTGTTCAATTTAACGTTTAAAATGTTGGGCTACCAATGACAAGATCTCTGGCTCAAACCCATCAGCCCATATGCAGGGAAAGGTGAGACTTTCTGCTATAAAGATTTATAGTCTCGGAAACCCACAAGGGCAGCCCTCCTCTATCCTGTGGGGTGACTATGAATCGAGTTACTGATGGCAGTGAGGGAGCTTTTAGAGGAAGGAAATGATCATTTGAAAGCAGGCTTACAGTTGGCAGTGGCAAAAGCTGTTTCCTTAGGAGAGACAGTTCTTATTTTCCCTCTAAAATGATAGTAAGACCACATTTTTGAGCCCCAGATTTGGGGCAGTGTGCAGACTTGATCACCAAAATTTTGAGTAGTTAACTGTATGCAGAGACCCAAATTTGGATATGCCCTTCATTTGCACACAACCAAAATTTCAGTTTCTCAATTTAGATGGTGAAGAATCTGACCTGGAAATAAGATACAAGCAGATGCTTATGGAGTGAGATCCCCAGTGTGGGTTGAGGGCCTAAAGTTAGAGTGCAGATAACTCTCCAGATATGCATTATTTTTGTGGAGACACCCCTCCCCACCCACCCACACATATCCACCCAAAAATCAAACTCATGCCATTGAGTTGGTGCCGGCTCAAAACAGCCCCACAGGACAGAGTAGATGGGCCTCTGGATGCACTGGTGGTTTCAAACTGCTGATCTTAACAGTGGCAGCCCAATGTGTAACCACTAGGACACCAGGGCTCCTTACTGTGGCCACAAAGAAGGGAATTTTCAGCCTTCAAAGTAAAATGCTTTGGGGAGCATAATGAATCATTGAGGCTATTAAGAGGTTAGAGACAGAAAACACTTATTAAAATAAACCCCTACGATGGAGAGAGGGAAGGCAGCCATTTTCAATTAAGAGGAACAGCTTTAAAGTAAATGGAGCTCTCTGTTAGGACAGTTTATAATAATTTATTTCAACTAGTCTCACAGCCCCTCCTCTCCCCCCAGTAGATACTTTCACGATGGTGTGGTTTTTCTGGTAAAAGCAGAGTTTGTGAATGAAGGTACATGATGAAGGTCAAAGGAGAATGGATTCCGTAAGCTTAGTGGTGGCACTTCCTTCTTGGTTTCTTTTGGAATAGCCATGTGATTTTTGTTTGTTTATTTGTTTAAAAATAAAAGAACTAAAGAATGCTAACACCAGATCAACTCCTTTTATGTTTGGCCATATTGACCCTTCGAATTTTACTTCTTTATATAAGCCTAGACATATTAATCAATAGCCCTAAATTTGCCCCGTGCCCAGTTTTTGGAATTTGCGTGGGCGGGGAGGCGAGAGGAGACTCTTAACCCATGAGTCAGCTGTGCAGATGCGTGCAGGCCTTTCCGTGTGCGTTCTGTTTCCACGGAGGGGACTCCAGAATAGGTCAGTGGAGAGGAAATGGACTTTAGGCTAGTGTATCCAACTTGCTCTTGTGTACCAGAATTTCAGTACTTGTCCTAAAGAATTGTGGTCTGTGTCTAATTGTGGGCTAGTTTTCTGTTTTCTTAGATGGTAAAACTCTTTTCCTGGAGAAACCCAACGTTTAAAAACAAAAAATAAAAAACAAAAAACAAATTCAGTATATTCTCAGGGCCACAATATGCCTACTATACATTTCTAAGAATTCATAAGCCACCAGTTAGTTTGTTTTCTGATGAATATAGTAGGAAGACGTGCACTCTGTGCAGGTGAAATGATCATAGTGAATGGAGTCTATTAGGATCCACACGATTTAGTTCCATAGAGAAGTAAGTTGGAGACCCTGGAGGAAATAAGATCATGAGATGTAAACGACAAATACAATGCACGTAGCTATTAACCAAACCATTGGAGGATCTAATCCATCCAGAAGCATCTTGGAACCTGGCTGTCTGCTTTTGAAAAAGCAGCCATTGGGAAGCCTAATTTTATTCTGACACACATGCGCATAGAAGTAGAAGTCAACTAGATGGCAACTGGTAAAGAAGTAGCTTTGAAGGCCTTTCGGTAGCTGTGTTAATTTTTTATATTTTATCTAGCAGTATATTTGCTTTTGACATAAGTAATTCTTAAACTTTTTAGACAAGGCCTTATGCAAATTCTATATTATTCTCTTGACTCATATTAATAATGAAGTAAACATTACTTAATTGTCAACAAGTAAATGTCAAAAATTATATATATTTAGGCCCCAGTTGGATTATTATCACATTTGGCCACTTTGACATACTGCCTGTTTTTCTCTGACTTTTGAGTATTTCTACATGTAAGTTCAGTAATACTGATTACAACCTTTAAGGTGTGTATTCCCCTTTTAGATTGCTTCTGTCCAATAATTTAAGTTTCCATCAGTGTTGTAGCATTTTGCCTTCCCACCAGCAATAAGGGTTGCATTTTCCTCATATCCCTACCAATATTTGTACTTATTCTTATTGAATATATGGTTGTCATAGATATTATTCTACTTGGTTTCTTTTACCTTTGTTGTTATGATCTTTTGATGATCAAAAGCTTTAAATATTTATGTTTCCAATTAAAAAAACTTCTTTTGCTACTTGTGCATTTCTTACTGTATTATATAAAAAATTAGGCCTGACCGTCTTCTCCCTACATTTTCTTCTAAGAATTGTTTGGTTTAAGTTTTCACATTTAGGTGTCTAATCTGTTTTTTGGATTTGTTTTTGAGTATGGTATGAAGTATGGGTCTTGTTTTTTGTTTGCTTGTTTTCATTTGGAAATTCAGTTTTTCCAACACTACTCATTGTCTTCTTTAATACTTCTAGCAATGTTTTATAATTTTTAATCTGTAAAAGTCCTTCATATTTCTAAGTTAATTCTAGATATTTTATTAACTTCGATACTATTGTAAATGAAATTGCTTTCCCAATTTTCCTTTCAGATTTCTTGTTGCTGGTGTATAGAGATACAACTTCATGTGTTGGTTGACCCAGTATCTTACAACTTTGCTAAATCCCTCTGTTAGCTTTAGATGTTTTCTTATGGACTCTGTGGGGTTTTCCATAAATGTGATCATGCCATGTGTGCATGGAGGTAATTTTGATGCTTTTTCACACTGGACAATTTAGATTTCTTGTTTTACTGCTCTGGCTAAGACTTGTGACAGATACTGAATAGGAGTGGTGAGAGTGCAAGCACCCTTGTTGTGCTCCCAATTTCAAGGGGAAGCTCCTAATCTTTCTCGATTAAGTGTAATGTTGGCTTTTCATAGACACCCTGAATCATATTGAGGAATTACCCTTCTGTTCAGTCTTCTTGAGCTGTATTAATAATTTAGTGCTACTTTGGTGGAGTTTTCAGATATATGTACATTATTCGTTTGTTATATAATACCTTCTGGGAATTTTTATTTTACATTGAAGTCATAGAAAAAAACCAATAATGCAATTTCTGGTTATGTTGGCATTGCTATTTTAATTTGTTTTTAAGGACTCAGCAGTGTTTGCCTGATCTGAGACATGGAAAGTTCCTGTTATGAAATTTAATTTGCTATGTATTCTTTGCCTATCAAATAGTGAATATTTGGAGACTTGCAATTGAATTTCTAGTTTTAAATGAAGTTCTTCTCTTTTACATAGAGATATCAGTTCAAATATTACTTGTAATAATTCACCATTTCTATTCCAAAACATGTTAGATAATCTAAAACTTAGCCCATTACTATTTAAATTCTTTTTATTTAATGCTGTTGGGCTTATTGTATACTCAATTTTTTTCCTTTTTGCCTGCTTATCTTGTTTTATATTTTCATCCCATAGTTTTACCAAGCCAGTATAAATGACTTGCTGTGTTATTTTCCCTTGACATCTGATGCAAAAATTGACCTTTCTCTCAGTTAAGGAAAAAAAATCCAATCTTTAAAATGCCTTCCAATGCTGTCTGCATTTCTGATGTTTCATATTCTTCTCCCTTCTATTGCTTTGCAACCTTTTGCTGTTTTAAAAACTTGCTTTGCTTGCATTATACCCATCTTTGAGAATACTGCTTTTGTTCTTTTGAAACATAAGAGCATGCAATGGGAGACAGCTCCTATATTTCATTTCCAAAAGACATACGTAGATCTAAAGTAGCTTAATTTGAGGCGGCCTCATTTAAACTGTTAGCTAAAGGAAAA